TTTTTTATCGCTTATATAGATTATATATCTGTAATTAGATATTATTGTTGTTGCTGTTGTTATTAATCTTGTTTTTTTATATTCATATTTGGTCTCATTGTGGATCTGCAGTGGAACATAAGAAAATACTGTAAAACCAAACGGAGAATAGGGTGTCACGTGTAAAAGTACACAGAGAAAATATTGTGAGCTAATAGCCTGAATACATTTAAAATGTTTACCTAAAATTTAAAAAAACTACGTTACAAAGCCAAGTTAGCTTCAGGGACAATTTTACATGATAGTGCTAAAAGTGAACACCCATTTCAGTGTACTGCAGGTTCTCACCCAGGGTGGTAAATCCCGTTTGGACCTGAAGACCTTCTGGGTGGTGAACTCCTCGTTCTCGTGGAGGTACATTGCAGATCTGAGCCTGGACATCTTCTCCAGTCGGGTGTGGGTCCACCCCATGTAGATGACCAGACCGAGCAGGACCAGGGTGATGCTGAAGCCATAGTATCCTGCCAGGTAAACGGGCAGCAGAGCACCCAGGCATTTACCAAAGGACCAGAGCACACTGACGGCTCGTTGCCCGGGCATCTGCTCCGGAGAGGCCGAGGGTGCAGACACTGTCCCTGCGATCACTTCGGGCTCTGACATCTCAGGTTTCGTTTGATTTTACAGGATGAAGGTGGCCTTTCCCCCGCTCTGCTGCTGGGTGGACTCACTCTGAACCACGGCGTGTGACACAAACCATCGTCCACAATCTGCCACAGTTTAGTCGATTAACTCATGACCGCTCAGCTGTTCGCCGTGCAGCTTCCTCAACGTTTCGTGAGTAGCGTCTGTGGCTAAAGAAGGCGACCGGAGAGCGCAGGGTGGGGGGCGGGTCCGCTGTAGAAAATCCACCTTCTCGCCAGAATTCTGCAGACACCTTATACCTTGCGCACTTGTAGCGTCTTGCACTGACTATTGGCGCGTCACGGCATGTGCACACGCACTGAGGCGAAGTGTGGAAGTTCAGAGGGCACTATTCATTACATTGCCATGAATTATATCAACACCGTGAAAACGGTGCAGGGAAATTGCAGCAAAAGCTTGAGCAGGGTCTGCTGTGGTTAATCCGTCTGTAGGCGCAGGCGCCCAGCTCCACTGCAGCAGCAGATCTTAACAGACACCGTGAAGGCACCAGCACTGATAAAAGAGAGGAACGACATCTCCAACAGTGGCGGTACTAGTCTGTTTGAGATTCGGGGCGAAATATAATACTGTAATATGGAAATGAGTGAGAAAGGAAAAAAGATCAATAAAGAAAAAAATAGAGGATTCATATTGATTTAGGGATATATCAGTATTAAGACGATACTTCATTCAAGTACTGTACTTTTTTAGAGGTACATTGTGATATTTCTTTAAATCTTTTACAGGCTAACTTACACTTAAGAATTCATTTTTTAAATGGCTATAATTTATTATATAAATTTGGATATTTTTCAACAGTTTTAGCTTTATAACCTTTTAGGGAAACCAAGCTTCTGTATTGAGCAGTGTCAGCTGTGGTTTTTCCCCCCCAAAGAGACCATTGCAGCATCAGCATCAGTCACATGACAACCACAAAGTGTGTGTCTGCCTAATACTGAATACTGAAGTGTAGACTCTGTCGCTCCAGTGGTAATTTCACTACACTTAACAACAGTAACTATTCAGGCTTTGGGTCTGTTTGCTCAGAAAGTCTAATAATCCTTTATGTAAACACAGGTAGAAGCAGAACCGAAAGCCTGTCCAGCAGGCAGACTGGAACGATCATGTAAACACACTCTAGTTTCAGATGTAGCCTTCTGTCACAGTATAGTCAGGTGTATGGTTAACCACAGACACCAAGCAAATAAAGAAACCTTTAAATAAAAAAACGTAGCAAAACTCTCTGAGAGACTGAGATGCTAACGTAGCAAAACTCTCTGAGAGACTGAAGTTGATTACACTGATTAGGTTTAGCTTTTTTCTTCAGCTAATTCACTGTAAATTATATTAATAAATGAAAAAAATTAACAATTTAATTTCTGACTACATCCAGACCTTTTTAACTTCTAGTATTCGTTGATATTTTTTCCCAAAAGATGTATATAACTGAACCCACGAACACAGCAGTTTTGTCTCAAAGAAGCAGAAGTTATGACTCTATTTGATAAAAATGTAGCAATAATTCAGAAGAAGAGAATATTGTGTGAAGGTCATCTGGACCTTGTGTCAGTCAGATGTTAGTGTGGTTTTGTAAAAAAAAAAAAACCCCAGAGAGTTTAAAAGAAGTCACTGTCCACGCCAAAAACAACAACAGAAAAGCCAAGAAAAACAAACTGCTGAACTTCTGATCTAACTAGTGGGCAGAACTGAAACAACACGTGATATTAGCGGTTACTTTGACAAGTTGGTAGAAATTAGTACCAATTGAATATGGGGTTAATGTTGGAACGTTACGATCGAACTTAAGCGGTAAAATTACACCATCTACTGTGCAGTTTCATGTATGCAGCAGCCGACGACATGCTTCATCTGCAGCCATTTACTAAGAAATGTATTATCACAGGATTAGACCCTGAGCAGCACCTGACCATCACCTGTTGATGTGTCAGGTCAATACTGATAATGGACAGTCACATTTTCTTTTTAAATATCACCTAATAACAAAACAATCAACAATCAAAAGTACTATCAAGTAGCAATATACTGTTCATGTCAGTTTGAGTAACAGAAATAGTCATATTAGGTTAATGCTTACCTGTAAAACGTATCGTTTTAATTTCATCTTCACCAACTTCTCCAAGAAATTGCATGGCTTGCAGTCTTTTTTCCACTAATGGAAATAGAATTTTATTTACCAGGGTAAACAGTCATTCAAATAAAATAGTGCTGTCTTATACCAAAGGTGACAATGTGCCTTATATACCTAGATAATTTATGAAAAAAAATAATTTTGTGGTTGAAAAAAAGCAAACATTATCTAATAGTTATGGGTCCCCCCCCCCCCCCCCCCCCCGTGTTGGGCTAACCCTAGCAAACCTGAATTATGAGTGAGTCAAGTTGTATTTTTACTTTTTTAAACCAAAACCTTTAATCACAGTAAAAACAAACAAAATGACAAAAGTTAAGGAGCAAGAGTCCAGAATGTCCCAGAGAAGATCTAACGACCTGTTGGGTCTCAGAATTGGCTTGTGGGCCTCATCAGCTCCTGCTGCTGCACTGCACCATCAGGTTGATTCAGATTCCACTGGCTTCAGATTCACACTGGGGTTGATTTTGGTTCTCCAGCTGTGCTCCAATCACTGCTTCACAGTGAGGTCTGATGTCACAGCTGTGGCGGAGAGTTTACTTTGACCTCTGCCTCATCTTTCTTCTTTTGCGCTTCAGCCTTAAATTTAATCAAAAATAAAATAAATTACACATTGATGGACACGACACGTAAAAGCACAGATGAAGTTGAAAATTACTTAAGGCAATTACCCAGGAAGCTTAATGTAACACTTGACAGTACACAGGCAAGTATAAAAAGCATTTTTTAGCAACAAAGTCTAATTTTAATTTTTGCAAAATTACTACCAAAAGAAAAATCTAAACGAATCCCTCTCAGAAACAAGTATGCATACAAACACATTTTGAAAAACAAAAAATTAACTTAACCCACAACACAATTCTTGTGAAGTGGTAAATTTATATTCTCGATCAACAGCAGTTGATCTAATGTAAAATTTGAACACCAGTGGTGCTGTTGTCAATTGCATAACGGGGACACCTTTGTAGCTGGACAACAAAAATAACCTGTTTACAAAAATAATACGCAGTTTAGGGCAGGCCCACAACGTGCACAATCCGCCATCTTACCTGCGCATGCGCTTCTTCCTCCACTGTAAGGAATAGAACACAATGTTAAAATATATAGGTTGAACGACGGCAAATAATAAGAATAAGCTTATGAATGATGATTAAAAATCTAAAAGCCAAAGTAGAAGCAAAAGCTTCACAGGTGACAGAACGCATTTTCTTTAGCATTGATTGCCCCTACATGTTTACCGAACATTACTAAAAGATTACTGTTAAAGAAAACACGGTAACCACAAACCTTGGCTCTCATGTTGAACAAGGAAGTCTGAAAAGAAGAGTAAATTTGATGTTTAAAATGGATCGGGTTAAAAACAGGATGATTAAGTTGGATTCTGAATTTCACGCCAGCAACAAGAAATTACACTTACCAACGGCTACCAACCAAGTTCCTGAAGAACGTCATAACATCGCGACATCTTATTTATACAAAAGGTTACGTCACACCGTTTCAGACCGCGGGGAATTGTGGGAGCTTGGGTTTAATAAAACGTAACTCGACGTGCAATGCAATTCGCCGCTTAACAGCGGTTAAAGGTCAAATACTGTTTGACAAGACCACGAATTTCACGATATTACGAGTTATAGTCCCAGTCTTTACGAAAAAAGTGATAATATCCACATTACCAGTTAAAATTCACGACAGAACGATTTACTCTTCATATGAGTCCATGTTTTTAAGCATTCTTTTAATATTTTTCTCCAGCATAAAAATTGAAGTTCATTCCATTTGATAGTGTAGGATATTCAGTAACATTTGCTGCTGTTTTCCAGTGTAACATAATGCAAACTATTCACCCAACCTTTAGGGTAAAGACTAAGAACTGCATAACATTTTTATCCAGAGAAGGGAGAAGATGAAATAAGGGGATCAGAGGAACTGTTCAAGTTTAACTGTTTGGAGAAAAGTTGGCACAGCTGAGAGGAGTGTGTGATGAGCTGAGGATCGCAGTTATGTTAGACTTACAGTGGAGCTGACAGGCAGGAGAAAGAATGTGTGAAAGGAGATAGAAATGGTTGCTGCAACAGCGGAAGAGGCCAAAGTACATATACAGTATGCTTGCAATATTGCCATGTGTATCATGGTTATGGTGGTCAACTGTGACAAACATAACAGCACAATAATAATAAAAAAAGAGGCACACAAATGATGTCAGGTGGCTTTTTAATGTTTCCAAAAATAGTCTCTGAAAGTGGGACTTGTTTTACAAAAGTATCCATATATTCTAACAGGTATGGAATTCTTGTGTAAACAAAGACTGTCAGACTCAGTGGTGGCACCAGAAGACTGAATGCTGAACCCTTGGCAGAAGACAGACCATCCACAACTGAGGAAGATATTTTTCTTTACTTGTTATATTACCCAGGACATTAAATTCATTATCATTTTTAATTAAGAAATTAGCTGTTTTAAGTACAACAGATGCCTAGAAGTATACACCATAACTAGAAGGCTTAAGGATAAGCAGTACAAATGTGCTAGTTTTACTGGACTGAAAAGAAATGCTTAACCATGAATATAAATTGAGTGAATGTCACTGGATATGAGGGTTCAGGGTGAGTGTAACATTTCTGCCCATGACATGTTAAATCATTTCAAAAGGCTTCATGCCTGTGACCTCGAGAAAGTAATCTAAATGCTGACTCAGAGTGATGCATTCATAATCCTTAGCTGCTCTGTCAAACTCATTTAATCATTTAATCTACTTTCACTACAGTGTTTGCGGGGGGTGGGGTGAGGGAGGATTGGGGTTAGACTCAAGTTCGGTCTATTTGTATTAGGTTCCAATAAAGAAATGCCCTTGCACCAAATATCCTCTCCTCCAGCAGAACATTGTCTACAGTTGGGAGGAAATGCTGTCTCAAGGACAGTGAGATTTACGGGATTTTTTATTTGATGGAGTGACAGAATTTAAGAGCAGCTTCGTCCCAGACTGACATCAGTTAGATACAGAGGTATTCACAGCGGCTACACCAGCGAGTGCCTCAGACAGCTGGGACAGGAGGATTGGTGACGTCTGTTCTTTGGGTCATCAGAGGTCTGTCAGAACTTCCTGCAGAGAGAATCTACTCTGCAGTTTCAGTCTCCATTGCCTGTCCAGTTGCACTCTCGACAGTCTTCGAAGCCTTAAAAAAGAAAAAAGGTTTCGTTGGTCAGAGTCAAAATTCACACATTAACCAGGACAAGTAATTGGGAAAATTGATCAGTTTTCATTTTAATGCCTATGAACACATGTAGAGTGACATCCACTTGTTCTAACAAACAGTCAATTACCATGATATTTATAAGTTACACTGAAGCTTGAGCTCAAAAATGTTTATCTTGATTAATTTTGATAAATCCATATGATTACAAATTTTAATCGTTTGACAGCCCTATTTATTTATATGTATGGCAACACAGCACAAGCATACACACCTTCTTTTTCTTCTTCTTCTGTGCCTTGCGGCTGGTTGAACTCTGGAGCAAAGCCTATAGCAAAATCAAGGAAGTGTTAATATGAGCTATAGTCACTAATACACATTTAGTCATTCACTGTCAGCTCACAGTTTGTAAAAGCAGTTCTAGTAGCCTATATTATTTGATCCATAGGCAAAGAAAGCAACACTTATGACTACCCTACCTTCAGCTCTGGGTCCTCGACCTCCAGCTCAGACTTGTACAGTTCTGGCTCAAAGAGGCTGTTGGTGATTCGCAGAGGTCCATTGGCCATGAGCATCACAGTGAATTTGAACTGGGCCACAAATTCACCTGAACACACAAAGAGTTGCATTAGTACAGGTATCGCTGAGTTAAAGCTATGGCATAAAATAGTGTCAAACATTAGGCAAGCATTTAAGCATTCCCTAAATGGAGTGCGGTAAACGTTACCTGTAGGTCTACTTATAAGTGTTCTTTAAAAAAGTTGAAAAGCGTTTGAAAACGGAGAGAGTTATAACATCAAAGTTTTCATCGAATCTAAAGCTGCTGCATGACTGACTGCATTTCACATTGATTAACAAGAGTTTACTACATGTTCAATGTTTTACACCCTACCTCCTCAATACGGCACTCACCTTCTTTCTCATGCAGCACATTGAAAGGCTGCAGCAGCTCGTGTTTGGCACACTCCACTAAACCCAACCTGGCCTTGCCTTCATCTTCAAAAGCTCTGGGAAAGAGAAAAGAAAAAATGGGAAAACAGTTGTGGAGGCGAGGTAAGAAAGTGCATAAAAGGTAGTATGTTTAGTAGGTTTTTTTCTTGACAACATTGACCCCTGGTGCCTCAAGTAAAAATATATTGTAGTTCAGTTTATGTCAAGTGGCTACATAACCAATGCTGTTGTTTTCTCTGATGAACTCACTAAAATTTACAGGCCTCATATTTGAAGATAAATACTTGATTCTGGAACTACAGTAACGAGTTCTCCCACTGTCTCGTGGAGTAAAGTCACGTGTTAGTAATGGGTAGAGGCCTCTAATGTGATAACAGGTGGACAATTACACAAGGAGGAGACTGCATTCTGAATGTGTGTTCTGTGACCATGTGACATACAAGCTGGCACCTTCTGTCCTGTATTCTAATACACACTGTTGTCCCTACTGCTGCAAAGAACAACGGGTCTAACAAGTCTGATTGTACTAATGAGAACAGTGTTGAGGGAGAGAGATTGAGAAAGTTCTGGTTCAAATCCAGGCCCTGGGACAACTGTGGTGTGTTGAGCAAACACAAAATAGCCAAAACAAATTTGGCCTTCAAAATATGTAAATGAGCATAATTAATATGCATTACCTCAAAGTGAAAGGCATCGTATTGAAGCGTCTATCCACCTCACTGAGGAACGTTCGAGATGTCTTCATCTTCAGACCGTACACCTTGTTGGGGTCTCGTTTGTAAACGGTTGTTCTTTGACCTCCGTCTCTGGCCTAAAAACACAGACAATAACACTTTTTAATCAGTGGTGTACACTATTTAAATAATCCCATATGCAGGAATCGTTTTCCTCTGTCGAAATAAATAGCTTTTACAGTAATATTACCTTTCCTTCTCCAGAGCTAATGAGCACATCCACTGCGTAGACCTCATGCACCTCAAACTCAGCCTTCTCATGGTCCTTTCTGTGAACACAAGTTGATTCAATAGTTAAAAAAAAACATCACACTAACAAGGTCACTAACGGTTACCACAGACTAAAAGTAACAAGAGTCGTGACTGACTTCTGCTGGTCCGTTGGGTTTTGGATGATGGTCTTCTCTCCATCAATGACGTGCTGTTTGAGCTGATGGGACAGCATACCTGTAAATAGATCAATCATAGAGAGATGGATGAAAAATATGAGAAATTCTGATAAAGACATGGATAGCTATATAGAGGTATACAAGTCAGCCAAAGAGACATATATACATTTATACACACACACACAGTCAGCCAAAGAGACATATATACACTTATACACACACACATATATACACATTTGTGTATATATGTATATATACATATATATACGGGGGATGGTGAGGGTGCAGACATAAATACACCCGTTAATCCAGGTGCCTCAAATGACACACACCTTCAATAGGAGAGCACTTGAATGACTTTGCAATCTTGTTCCAGACGTCTGTGACTTGTGTGTTCTAAGACCAAAGACATGGTAGTGATTAATTGGTGAGCAGTGGATCACCGGTCACGTCTGTGGTAATGGTTTAACCCGTACCTGGTTTCCTGGCTTGACAAGGCGTATGGCGGCCTCAGCACAGAGGTGAGCCGCTTTAATGACGTCAGCCTTCCTTCCTGTTAGTGGGTTCTCCTAAAGGACCACAAGTCAATTGTGTTACTACCTGTGAATGCCCTAAGTAGTTAAAGGTTTAAATCACTTATTTCAGCAGTGATGATGATAATGATGATAAGGTACCTTGGTCACACCAACAACAAAGCTGTGAGCCACGTTTGAGATGAAGCCATCCACATGAACGCCCAGGTCACTGTACATGAACACAGAAGAAACGCATGAGTGCACTGCAAAGACCACACAAGTTGTTAGTTATCTGGATTTCAGCGGTGTGTAATGTGAGACGCTTACATCTTCACGAGGTCCCCATCCTTTAGAATGATGTCGGCATCACTCTTCAGAGGAGAGAAATGGCAAACACAGTTGTTAACTGATACACAGGTAGGAAAAGCGATACCTGTGAAAACAAAGAAAGGAAGTGAATGTGAGAATGCAGAGTCAGCAATAATGACAATAAATGGGGGAAAAAAACCACTGAGGACATACCTTTCTTCATCTCCTTCTCCTTCTTAAAGATTTTTCCAGTCTCTGTCATGATGAAGCTGTCGCCCTTTTCACACAGGCTGAGCACAGAGACTCCAGACTTAGCTGCCTCCACCACCACCTTCAGAGCCTCTGTGGGACACCAGAAAGAGAGGAGTCGTTATTTCGATGACAACACCTGAAACTTATTATACATTAACATACACATACAGTATATGTGTGTGTGTGTGTGTGTGTGTATATATATATATATATATATATTACAAATGTTTAATTTTAACCACGTAAAACTTTACAATTTGGCAATGACATTCTTTAGGTCATTACTGAGGGTGACATATCTAATGAGCTATGTAAATTCTTTGTGCAAAAACACCAAAAAGGCTTCACTCTGGTTTCAGGAGATGAACATGATCTACACCAAAGAGACTCTGGTTTCAGGAGATGAACATGATCATTTGAATCTTAGCAGATATTTGAGGAATAATGCAACCACTAGTTATTTAACAAAAGTAAGGACAGACACATATACAAACAATTTGCATTTGGTGCCTCGGTCATTCACTGCTGAGTCACACTCTGCACAAAACAATTTATGTATTATTAGCATTTCTGTGGATAAATAATAAACTGCTATCACAAAATTACACTGCATTGTATCAATGTCTTGCACAGTGTGGATTATTTATTTGACCACATCACATCTAAACTCCTGACTGTACCGTACCTACACTGAGTTGGCATCTTATCATCTCCATCTCTACAGTATAATTTGTGGCCATGTCTTGGTATATTTCTTACACATGTGTATTGTTTCATGCTTAAAGTAAATCTAGCATTCGTCCCAAAAAATGCGTGGAAAAAGGTAAAAAAAAGTAAACTCTATCACAATAAATGTTGTATGTAATAATATATTACTGTTTTCATGGAATAACAACACCAAAACATAGAAGAGTTTTAAAGAATGCATTACTGAAACAAAGTACAAAATTTCATAACTGCTGTAAAACAAATTTGTTAGTTTCCTGGTCATTGACTAACTTACCAATCTTTGCTGCCCAATGATGAACATAAGTGTCTCTGCACTATGCAAAACACAGCATTGACAGATGCTGCAAAGTCGGTGTACTGCTAAAGGACACAGCTGCATTACCATTTTTAAATTTGCTCTTATTTATTACCCATCTATACATTAGTGTATATGGTGAAAAATTTCAAAGCTAAAACACAACATCTACTAAACTGTGAATTAGCAATTAAGCTTTCTGAACTAGTTTAATCCCCTCATACACATAAAATGGCAATAAAATAAAATCTTGCAAAATACTTGGGATAAGTTAACCAGCTTCTGCTAATATTAGACGTAAATTTACATATGGCTTACGACTATTGCAATAAACAGGTGGTAGTAACCCGTATGTGTTTATTAAAACGTTTGATATGTAGATGTGAAAAGCCACATGTTTTCATTTCATTTTCCACTTGTCATTGTTATCTCTACCGTTAGCTGCTAGCAGCTAGCGAGGCAGCGTAGCCACACAGCCTGTTAGCTAAATGAGGGGCTAATGTGACAGCTACATCATATTAGACAGACACAACCTCAATAAACGAAATTAATTTTCAATAATTATTTAAAACAGCCCAGTAAAGATAGTTTGAAATCATGTCTTGCTATATGGCGTGCCATATGGCCGTCACTGCTCCCACTGCAGCGGCAGAGGCACATGGCACAGTCACCGCTGGCATTGACTAGCTCACACTGCTAAGCTAACACAAGATCAACCTCGCACTTCATTGACCTCCTAACATTACACTTACGATTGGCAATCTCAGCTCCCATCTTGTACTTGGTGACCACCAAGTCATCGGCGATGGTCTGCTCCTGTGAGTCGTCGTCGCCCGACATGTTGGCAGTGTGTCCGCGAACTGAGAATAACTTTTTTTCTCCCCCGGCGGGTAATGTGTCAGTCAGTTACAGACAGGGTGGACCACGCTTCTCTGCACCGGCCCGCCCGACTACTACCGGCAGCCTGCTTTCACCAAAGCCCGCCTGCTGCCAGAGAACTACGAACAAATCAAGATAGTTTATGGCCGTGAGTTTCCGCTTTCGCTCGCTTGACCGTTTGCACGGAATTCGTATGAATTATAGCAAATAAGTGATTGAATTGCCCGACTATTGTTTTTTTGTGTATATTTTTTATTGTTAATGTAATTTTCAGGTCAACCACAGGAGAAAGAAATACGCGAAGAAGTGGGTTTTAACGTAAATTGTCAGTCGTACGTCAACCGGAATTTTTTTTGTGACGTCTTCATAAGCCTTTTAAGTTTTGTCAAATAAGGGAATGAAAAGCGATATATTTATTATTTAATTAGTTTTTATCCAAATAGCCAAAAGTTTGGAAGCAAACAATTGGACCTGTATCAATAGCCAAAAGTTGCCTGTTTGGAAGCAAACAATTGGACCTGTATATGTTTTTGGACGTGCTTTCTCAACTGAACTTCCACTTTGATTTCTGAACTCAGGTGGATACTCTGGGTCTAAACTCTGTATTTTTATTGAATAAAAATATCTTGGAAATGATCCAAAATGTCAGCACAAATAAACTTTAGACACAAAAATGCTACCACTCAATGAAATCATTAGTTTTGTATCATGATCAGAGATGTGGAAAAAATGTAAATATAAAGAAACCAATTTCCATGGACCATACATTCAGTTTTGATCATTTTATTGATAATCCAACATTAAATATTTTACTTTTTCCTCAAAATAAGACAGTGAAAAAAATGACAACACACAACAATGAAAATATACAGCAGAAAATGTTGGAATTAGGGAAGGTGTATTTGTAGACTGTACAGAAAGAGTAAAGAAAAGCAGTGCTGTTTATTTACTGCAATACAAAAATAAAATCAAAATTACATTGTACATAATGTTTCATTAATCTTTAATTTCTTAAAACTTGAAAAATGTTGGCAGTATCTTGAATTTTAAGAAATAAAAATGTTGGCAGTACCTTGAATTTTAAGAAAAAGTAGAAAAGTCTATACAGGTCATAAACAAGAAGTAAAGTAACGAAGTGAAGTGTGTTTCCCTGTTCCTGTCCATCAGGTACGTACAGCATCTGTGTTGAGGAACACTCTGCTGTGCCAGTAGTCTGGGTTATCAAATGATGTGTTGGCCCCCGGTTCACCAATTCCAGCGCACACCTTGATGTAGCCCCTGATCCCTGCACATCTGCCTCCACCCACCTCCTCACAAACAGCCAGTGCCTTCACGGGGAAGTTCTGATACTCTGGCTGTTCCCACCCACTGGGCACCACTCCACATCTGGCCATCTCCTCATACTCTTCTACCATCTCCGGTGCAGCTGTGAAGACAGCTGGTGTGGGCTTGATGATGTCGCTCAGAGCCTCCATAGGACTGGGTTGTTTATCAGTGTTGTGTTGACATCTCCCCTCGTCCTCTGATTTCATTACCTCAACTGTTTGCTCTGCGTCTTGTTCCTCTGCTCCCCCTTTTTCAGATGTTTGACTCCCGCATCTCTCCTCTACTGAACTCTCCTCAGTGCAGTCACAGCTCCTGATATCCATGTATTCATATCTGCCCACCTCTTGGACTGTCTCTGTATCATGTTCTTCACACTGATCAGGTTGATGAGTTTTCTCTTGCTCTGCCACATTTTTCTCACACACCTCATCATTGCTGCCTTTTGCCGTGGAGACTGAAGATACTTCTACATCCATTGTGTTCTCAACAGGAAGTGAAACCATAAAGGTTGGGGAGGGCAATGGTGAGTTGTTCCTGAAAAGAACCTCAGAAGGGGCAGTGACTGTGGATGAGACAGTGCTGGCTGAGCCAGGAAGAGACTCTCTTCTCATGATTTCGTAATCTTGGGAAGGATTTTTTACTATGAGGGACAGATTAGTCTTTAGTCTCGATTTCCTTCTGCCAGAATGACAGACTCTAGATGCTGAGGGTCATGAAAAAGGCACAAAAGAGAGAGAAAGGGAACTTTGATCAAACATTGTTATTTTCATGTCATATTCCTTTAAATAATGAAAAAAAATAGACAGAGTTTTCTTCCTGGTAAAAGACGTGATTTCTGCTCACTGTCAGCATATCTTGAACATGTTGCAAGAGTAAATATATACTAAATTTTACAACAACAAGTTATATTGTTATCAAATGGTTACCCTCGCAAAAGAATAACTATTTTTACTTAGTAACAATATATCACCATGCCAGCAAAACTATGTGTCTGCTTTCAGGTTACCTCTCTCTGTCATGTCCGGGGATGCAGGCAGGACATAACCATTGTTGTCCACCTCCTCGTCCTCCTCTGCCCTCCACACCTTGTATGATGACGGACTTGATGCTGTAGAAAGTTTTCTGTGTCTGTGGACAGATCTGCAGGGGTGACTCCTCTCTGAACCAAGCCTGTCCCTGTGGAGACCTCCATTCTGCAGGACATCCTCATGCACCTCTGCCTCTCTGCCGATCCCTTTAAACCCAGACCTCTCTGGTAGGGTTCGCACTGAACTCAATCGCGACCTCTGAAACCATAGCTGAGGCACACAAGCAAAGATTCACAGCAAGGCAATAAAAAATATTCTTTTAAAAATAATCTAAGTTTATATTCTCAGCTATGGGACTTGATCCATATTTAATATGGTCATTGGGTTTCATAATTCCTGATTATACGTAGTAAAGTTTTTTGAAGTTATAGTCAAGTACACCTTAATTGATTTATCAATTATGTGGTACAAGTACAAGCCAACATGTGTTTTAGTGAAGATGTGTATGCACCAGCATGTGTGTAAATTGTACCTGGCGGATGCTGTCCATAGGGCTGGGAGTCATAGGCAGATATCCAATTGGTCCAGTCTGAGATGTGTTGCCCTTTAGTTTATAAAGGAAAAAGTTTAAAAAAGATTTGACTGGTGTAGTTAATTAAAGCTAATAGTAAATGAATTACCCTGTAAGAATTAATACGAGAACGTGACAGACTCCAAGATGGAGAATGTTGAAGAGGAGGTGTTGTCAAGCCATCCTCCAATCCAGCTTCATCTTGGTCTTCTAAATCTGCCTCCAGAAGTCCACGCTCTGAGTTTCTTCTATGACTTTCTTCCGAGGCTACTTCTTCTTCCTGCTGCAGAAAGATACGATTTAACCTGTTAGAGCCAACAATCAAAGCTGTTGAAGAACAAAGGCTAAATTAAAGATGTAAAGAAGAGACTGGTATGGATTGTTTTTACAGACCTTGTGTTACTACAGAGAATCAAAGAATAAGTAATTTCTCATTAAAATGTTTTGTTTTTACGGACCTTGTGTTACTACAGAGAATCAAAGCAGTAATTTTCTTGCTATAAGGCAAGATCACTAACCATTATCCCACTGTGTGACCTAGCCTTTGAATACACTGTCTCACCTTGATGACAAGGTATCTAGGAGGGTCTCTTGCCATACGTGTAAAGTCACTGGCCAGCTCCTTGAAGGTCGGTCTGATGTTCTCATCAATCATCCAACCTGAAGAGAAGAAGTGGTGTTATCCATGTACAGGTTGATGTTTTATGCATATACTTGTGTTGTGCTTTGAAACAAAACAAAACAGACAACTGACATTTAACCATGACCATGTAGACATCTATGGTACAGATGTGTGGCTGTGACAGACGTTCGCCCTTCTCCAGCAGACTGGGCACTTCCTGTGGCTGCACAGAGGCGTATGGCTCTGCTCCAAACGACATCATTTCCCACACAGTCACTCCTGTCCAGGACGACACAGGGGTGAAGATAAAATTCTACCTGCCAACACTCTGAGATGAAATCTTTCAAGCCACTCAGTGCCACCTACCATAACTCCAAACGTCACTTTGATGAGTGTATCTTCGAAACAAGATACTCTCAAGTGCCATCCATTTTATAGGAGTCTGCATTAGGAGACAAGTGTTAGAGACTGATTTCATTAGTGAGTGAGACAGTCAAACACACATAAATAGGTCAGAGCCACCTTGGTGTCAGTGTAGACGTATTTCTTGTCATCAGGATAAAGTAGATCAGCGACACCGTAGTCAGAGATCTGGACCTGGTAGT